GAAGAATTTTAATATATTTTCTTTTTTGAATATATATGCGAACGTCAAGCCAAAAGAAATTAACATGTCACACAAATACCATAAAAGCTGAAATATCATTCGAAGTTATAGGCTACTTTGATATAGTTATAGTTATTACAAATATTGCTATTCCAGTTTATGTTGAGGCTTTTGCACAAATACTTTACCGAATTCTTGATTGTTTTCGCCATATTATTTCTATATTTTAGCAGAAAAATTTTAATGAACTTTTTCGTCCACCAGGTCATGAAAATATTTGGGCAGAACTTGCAAGTACTTGGCCTAATAATTTACCCACAGCAATAAAGGAACATCATGAATGGAATAATAATACCATTTCTTATAAAATAAATGAGTCTTTGGCCATAATAACTTTCATTGAAGTAGAGTATCAAAAATGTCTTTCTGCAAGATATTTATTGAAAAACTTTGTAGTCTCAAAGCCAGTACAGGTTCTTTTCTCCAACTTATAAAAATGGATGAGAGTCGAGGAGTTATAGGGAACCACAAAAGGGTCTGTAATGAGATTAGGGATAAAACATTAGTTATTAAAAATACAGATTTTAATACAGTTGCTACTTCTTGGAATCTTAATCTTAAAAAAACTGAAATCCTTAAATTTGATCAAGAGCTTCTATTGCAGATACTATGGCCCTTAAACATTTTTATATGAGGAATCTTTATTGCAAAGACATGAGTATCGAGGATTAGAATAATATTTGCAATAGAAAATTTGTTGAAAATTTTAATTCACCTGAAACTCAAAAATATTTCTTATGATTGTCTCATTTTCGAAGGCAAGGTCATGATGAGAAGAATACAATGAAGGGATTGAAAGCTGAGAAAAATATACAATGAGAAATTGCCTATTATAAAGCTGAAGAGAATCTGAAAAAATCAGTGGCAGAAAACTTACGTAAATCTTATTCAGCAAATCATTGGAAGGTTATAAGAGAACTCTTTTAAGTATTAGACTTTACTAGTATTGATGATAGCGTATTCTTTCTGGTGATACTGCATCAGAATCATTTACACAGTCTTGTGAAAGATTTATAGAAATCTGAAACCAAAGTTTATTATTCTTTGATTTTAAGTTTCATGCAAGAAAAATATCAGATCTTAAATCGGCTATATAAGCAATTAATGCAATTGCTGGCAATTAGTGTAGATATACCATTAAAAGTGACAAAAAAAAAATAGGTTCCAGAAAAAAGCAGGTTTGGGAATATTCATACAAAATTAATCGCCAACCATATAACAGTACTGGTTTTGGAGATAAAGGTGCTTCAGAACTTCCACCATATAAACTAAAAACAGATAACAAGATTCAGAAACTCTTTAATTCTATAGGGCAGGAAAAATAATACTTCAGTCCATTATTCAGTATTTCAGCTAGGTGTTTCGACCATATCTGATTTCATTTTATTTTTTTACCTTCACGCCAGGCATTCTTATAACTTCCACCATATATGCTACAGATTCTAATATCAGAATAGGTTTCCTCATTACAGACAAGGCATATTATTTTAAGACAGGCTTTATAATGTCTGGCATATTCTGAAGCATGTCAGCATCCTTTTCCACAAATTGAATCATCTTTTTTGATGTATTGATAGGATAGATGATCCATATGAGGTAATTTTGATATTAATAATCTTAAAACTTCATCTTCACTTTTATTATAGATATTCAAATTGTTTTGCTTTAGCACTTTTAGCTAAAGCTACATAAAACTAAAATCCCTTTTCTCTTCACTAATCACCAAAAGAAAGTTAAAGCATATTCTAAAATTTTTGATTAAAGAATTTTTTCGAATTGAAAAATAAATAGATTAGTATAACTAGGTAGCATTTACAATATAGTTATTATTGATATAACTACTGCAAAAACTGCTTTAAAGACACGAAAACCTAAAACTAATAACTATGTCAGCATCTTGGATCAGTTATTATAAAAGTATAATTTTTCAGCTGACTCTACTCTAGAACGATTAAGTGAACATGCTCCCAAACTTGATGCTTTACTTCCTGATTGAATGATCTGCAGGCGTGTTAAAGTTGCCCATATCAGATGCTTATTTAGTAAAGAGCGGATAGAGGTTCTTATGCCAGATCTGAAAAAGAGTAATGATAAGTTTACCATAGAGGAAAGAGCGAAATATTGTGCTAAAGATAGTGAAGTTATGAACATTTTTGCATATCATTTAGATTTAGGCCCAAAAAATAGTAATGAAAATGAAATTGTTATCAGTGCTTTACATCAGTCTCAATTTCATTTAAAATTAAACTGAATCAGATCCTAAAGTTATTAATACCTATGCCAAAGATAAGGAACTTATTCAAGAATCTAATAAAATTCAGAAAAAATGAACTAAGAAATAAATGGCTAATCCAGATAAAATTCCCATACATTGCTTCTTAGCAAAGGTATCTAAAAGGCTTCAAAATATTGATACTTCTAAAACTCCTACTAGAGAGGATCTTGCAGTTGTAATTATAATGTTGAGTATGAGACCTGCGGAAGTGAGATCATTCCAGATTAATCATTACAAACTGAATCCATTGAAAATTTCAGCATATTATGAAGAAGGTTATTCTTAGTACTGTATAAGTTATCTTAAGGATAGAGGAGAAAACAAGAAGAATCCTATGCCTGACTATTTCTATCTATGGAAAAAATCCTGAATGCATAAAGGAATTACTCATTTGAATTCAAAATACTATTAAAGCTAGAAAGTTACATAATCCTGTCTTTACAGAAAGTGGAAAATGAAATGATACACCTTTTAATAAATTCCTAAAGCAAAAGCCTTATAAGTCTCTTCTGGAAGAGGTAAGAGAATATGGATGTAAGCATGCTTTCAGAATTTATGGTGGTAAGAATCCAGCTTCAAAACAACTTAAATGTCTTTCGAGAATCGCATTGAAGCAAAAATCAAACCGTCTTGATGCAGGTAATAATTATACTAGAAGTGATACAGAATCAGAAGACTCTGGTCCTGAATCTAACCATGAATCTGTTCTCAAGGCAAATAACAGTTCAAAATCCCAAACACAGGCTTCCTTGTCTGCGTTCCAATCTGATTCTCAAAAGTTTCAGATAATGAAAATGGATTAGGAGATAAGCTAACTAACTGTTTAGTGAAATATTTTTTAGAGTTAATATATAAAAATAATTAGAAAGCTTTTCTCCTAAAAGTCTTTGAGCAAAAGAGGTGATCGCATAATTTAAAGATACAGCATATATTATTTATGACACATTCAAGCATTTTTATTATACCAGAACTATTAGAACAGATTTTACATTTTTTAGCAATAGATAAATCTCATTACCCTACTCTATATGTTTTCTGATTGTAATACAGATGCAGTGCCTTATTTTATGGAAACATATTGAATTGAGAAAAAGACTTATATTCTGAACAATCTCTTCTAAATGATTATAATTACTGTGCAAAGAATTGCTTTCGATTAAATAAATTCATAAGGATAGAACATGCAAAGGATCTTTCACAATTGAAAAAATTCATAAAGCTAGTACATGGAAAGCAAATGCTAGTTTATTGTTCAAATGTAACTCATCTCAAAATTTCATACTACCATTCACTTTCAAATAAAAAATCATAAGAATCATACATTCATGTTTAAATATAATCCATTTGAGTTTCATAAATAGTATAGGATTTAGTAATAAAGCATTAGAACTAATAGTGGGTTCATATTTGAATCTGAAGTATTTTAATTTGTGTAATAATCAATCATGTGATTATATGAGCTTTCATGCTTGAGAAGTATATGATCTAGGTCTATTGAAAATCGCACAGTCATGCCATAAATTAGAATATCTAAACATTTCATATTGCACAGAGTTTCATGAACTATCAATTTGTAATATTATTCATTCCTGTCCAAAGCTCCAGCATCTTAGCCTTAGATTTAGTAAATTAGTGATATAACTATCAAAGAAATTGCATGTTCATGTTTTAATTTAAAATATTTCGATCTGAAAGGATGTGAAAATATTAGCAAAGAAGCTATAGATCAGCTCATTTCACTTAATCCAAATATACATATTAAGAATTTTGTGAATACTATAATACCTTCTGAATTTATTAGCGCATTTAGTAATTTTTTTGGTCAATATACTAATAATCAGAATTCGGTTCTTTCTCAAATATACTGGCAACCTAATTCCATCTTAATGTCATTCATCTTAATGTCAAGAGCTAGTGAAAGAATACTAGCCAATCAAGTAGAATGATAGTCTCTACCAATCTAACAAGTCTAACAGTCTGGAGTGGTGATCATTAGTTCAGAAGATTTTTTGCTGGACCACATATGTGTATTTATATGTGACAAAATATGCAGATCAATCAGACAGGATTTGTGTGACATGTTAATTTCTTTTGGCTTGACGTTCGCATATATATTCAAAAAAGAAAATATATTAAAATTCTTC